TTGCCTCATTCCATTTTAAACATGGATTCCTTTGAGTCTGTGTTTGCTGTATACAACAGCATTGAAATACAACTTAGGAAAAGATGCAAAGCCAGTGAACCACTCATGGACAGCTGTTTCATTATGTATGATATATATTTTGATATGTGTCCCTTCAAAATAACTCAACACACGGCCATTAATGTCTAAACTGTTGGCAGCAAAAGTGAGTACACCCCTAAGTGGAAATGTCCAAATTGGGCCCAAAGTTTCAATAATTTGTGTAGCCACCATTATTTTCCAGCACTGCCTTAACCGTCATTGGCATGGAGTTAACCAGAGCTTCACAGGTTGCCACTGGAGTCCTCTTCAACTCCTTCATGACAACATCACGAAGCTGGTGGATGTTAGAGACCTTGCGCTCCCCCACCTTCCCCCTCTAAGGATGCCCCACATATGCTCAATAGGGTTTAAGTTTGGAGACATGCTTGGCCAGTCCATAACCTTTACCTTCAGCATCTGCAGCATCTGCAGCAAGGCAGTGGTCGTCTTGGAGGTGTGCTTAGGGTTATCATGTTGGAATACTGCTCTCCGGCCCAGTCTCCGAAGGGAGGGGATCATGCTCTGCTTCAGTATGTCACAGTACATGTTGGCCTTCATGGTTCCCTCAATGAACTGTAGTTCCCCAGTGCTGGCAGCACTGATGCAGGCCTAGTCCATGACACTCCCACCACCATGCTTGACTGTAGGCAAGACACACTTGTCTTTGTACTCCTCACCTGGTTGCCGCCACACACGCTTGACACTATCTGAACCAAATAATTTTATCTTGGTCTCATCGGACCACAGGACATGGTTCCAGTGATCCATGTCCTTAGTCTGCTTGTCTTCAGCAAACTGTTTGTGGGCTTTACTGTGCATAATTTTTATGCCCTCTTCTGGGACGACAGCCATGCAGACCAATTTGATGCAGTGTGCGGCGTATGGTCTGAGCACTGACAGGCTGACCCCCCACCCCTTCACCCTCTGCAGCAATGTTGGCAGCACTCATATGTCTATTTCCCAAAGACAACCTCTGGATATGATGCTGAGCATGTGCACTCAACTTCTTTGGTCGACAATGGCGAGGCCTGTTCTGAGTGGAACCTGTCCTGTGAAACCACTGTATGGTCTTGCCCACCATGCTGCAGCTCAGTTTCAGGGTCTTGGCAATCTTCTTATAGCATAGGCCATCTTTATGTAGAGCAACAATTGTTTTTTTCAGATCCTCAGAGATTTATTTGCCATGAGGTGCCATGTTGAACTTCCAGTGACCAGTATGAGAGAGTGTGAGCGATAACACCAAATTTAACACACCTGCTCCCCAGTCACACCTGAGACCTTGTAACACTAACAAGTCACATGACACCGGGGAGGGAAAATGGCTAATTGGGCCCAATTTGGGCATTTACACTTTTGTTGCCAACGGTTTAGACATTAATGGCTGTGTGTTGAGTTATTTTGAGGGGACAGCAAATTTACACTGTTATACAGGATGTACACTTAATACTTTACATTGTAGCAGAGTGTCATTTTTTTCAGTGTTGTCACATGAAAAGATATAATAAAATATTTACAAATATGTGAAGGGTGTACTCACTTTTGTGAGATACTGTGTGTATATATATACATATTACATTTCTTCAGTGTTTTGTATCTTGTCTTGCAAAGTGCATTGTTATTATAATTAGCTTTGCTTAGAATAAAGTCCTATCTGAGAAACACCTGGTACTCAATATTTATCATAAAGACAGTAAAAGCTGCTATAATTATGAATTAGAAAGAAAGTACATTAAAAACCAGTTAGAGACCAATTATAACATAGTTTAATGTGAGAATCTATCCAGAGTATATTTCTTTTATGATAATTTTTTTTTTCATTTTGTAGAAAGTTATATTACAATATATTATGCTGTGAGGAAAGGGTAACAATAATAAGGCTCAGACAATAAATTTCTCTTCTGTCAGTGTTTTATAGAGATTCCTCTTTAGTGGTAGATTTATGGTACTTTGCATTGGAAATGCATTAACATATAAATATATTTAAGTTTCACACACCCCCTAAAGAAGAAAGACTAGACCTAAAAATAGTTGAACCTATTTTTTCCAGTATATTGTTTGTCTACATGGCAAAAGAGATGTTCAGTACCAGCTATTTTCTGTTGTCCTTAACCTTCTTCCACTTGAATCATAGTGTTACCCAAAGAATTCCATAATTGTCTATAATTCTAGAATCACACAAACTCAAGGTTCTAGAATCACACAAAATCCAACGTTTAATTTAAAAGAAAAATTGTTGGAGGACTCATCTGGTATTTCAGAGGTAACTCCTGCAAACCTTAGTTCCCCATTAAGTATTTTATCAATTCATGTAGCTGCTGAGTATGTGTGGGGTCTTCTAGCCACTGGAAGGTGTCATTACAACTGACCAAAATATAGTGGAGTAGACAATAATGTGCCCCCTTCTTTCTCTATTATATATAGATCACACCCACTGCCAATGGTTGTGGACTAGGGGGATATTAGGTTCCCCCATTATAATATTTATTTTAGCACCCTGCTGAATATTGGTGTGGGCTATGTTGGGACATTAGGTTCCCATCCCCAGTTGATTAATAAATTAATAGCCTCCACTTGCTGCCAGGGGCAGGGAGTGATACAAGGTCACCCTCATTTATTTGAATTAGTAGCTACCCCCTTTAAATATGGGGATAGTATGAATACTTTTGGATTAGAGATCCCAATCTGCATAATTATTTACATATATTTTTTACAGATGTATCAGTATGCCACAGATAGCCCAAGAAGAGAGACCCATAAGTACTATTTACAGAGCCTGGTAACTGGGCACTGTACCATGTGAGTGGTGCCTTAAAGCAAAATCGTTCCACTTCTATTGATTCATGTTACACTTTGTTATTTTCTCTTATTCATTACTTCTAGACAAATCAAGGGTATTTGGTAAAAGTGTCCATCAGAATAAAAGGTGTGTATTTCACTCTGCTTGCTCAAATATTAGATCAATTGTGGTTGTCCAAGTGAATTTTGAATTTTTATATCGTGTGTACCTCAAATTGTGCACATACACCTTGGTTTTAATGTAGTGTTCCCCATGCCCCCACCACTGGCTAGTGAGTGGGGGTATTAAAAAGTCTTAGGTCCCCCATGGACTGATGGAGGCTGGAAGGGAGATTATGTCGTCCACAGAATATTAAAAAATGTATAGCCCCTCCAGCCACCAGTGGGAGCCCTAAGAATTTTTAATACCCCCAACTCACTAGCCAGTGGAGATGTTATGGAGAGTTTTGTATGTAAGTACAAACATGTTGTGCTGATTCCTAAAGGAAATCTGTGTAGAAACTGACAGTGGGGTGAGGTGTGAGAGTTGCTAGGTATAAGGTATAGTTGAGTCTGGCAGAGTTGCTCATTGCAGACTATAGAGGTGTAATCTAGACATTTTTCAGTAAGACAAACAGAGGATTTCAATAAACAAGGAGTAAAGTTTCTTATTTGCATCCTGAATGAGAAAGGGCATATGCGAGAAATGCTTTAAGGTGAAAGTGACAGTATTTGGTGATAGAGTATTATTATTATGATATTTATAGAGCGCCGTCAAATTTCGCAGGGCTTTACAATGGGTTGGCGAACAGACATGTAGTTGTAACCAGACAAGTTGGACACACAGGAACAGAGGTGTTGAGGGCCCTGCTCAATGAGCTTACATGCTAGAGGGAGTGGGGTAAAATGACACAAAAAGGCAAGGATAGCACTAGACCAGTGACAGTTTCAGAAGAGGAATCAGTCAGGAGCTATTAACAGTTTAATTGATAGGCTTTTATGAAGAAGTGGGTTTTTAACAATTTTTTTAAGGAGTGGAGACTGGGTGAGCATCTAACGGAGGAGGGAAGCGAGTTCCACAGGAACGGTGCAGCCCTCGAGAAATCTTGAAGGCGAGCATCAGAGGTGGGAGTACGGACAGAAGATAGACGTAAGTCTTCAGCAGATCGTAAGGGCCTAGACGGGACATACTTGTGTATAAGGGAGGATAGATAGGTGGGAGCAGCATTATGTAGCGATTTGAAAGCAAGAACCAGAATTTTAAATTGAGCTCTATATTTTATAGGAAGCCAATGTAGGGACTGACAGAAGGGTGAGGCATGGGAGATTATATAAATAATGGTATGTAAAGAAAGCCCCCTTTGTCCTGAAAAAAACAATATATAATTTGTATGGGAACAGTAAATAAGAAAGCGGAAAATTACAGCCAAACACAAACACCACAAAAGTGTAAAAATATGCCTGGTCGCAAATGTACAACATCGCAAAAACAGTCCAGTCCTTAAAGGGTTAAGATAAAATCCTTCCAATCAGTTGACCCACTTATGGTGGATAACAAAACTTCCAAACACACATAGCAGTCTCTGGTTTAACATTAAATTTATCTTTTTTGTAACATTTTACATATACAATAGAATTTTGCATTATTGTGTGTCACAAAATATAATAAACAGGTTATGAGTGACACAACAGTGAAACATAAATTGCACATTTTCTATATAATACGCAGGCTAGAATAACACAGTGCTATTAATGAATATCCAAGAGATTGTTGGGGTAAAATGTGAGACCAAAACACTGTAAACATGAATTAAGGTTGTTTAAGGACAGAGTGCCCATGAGTAGTACCATGCTAATACGTTTAAGAGAATAATGGAACTGGTGTCAACAACTAATTAAAACATGAATGAGTACTTAAAATATAGTACTTAAAAACTCAAAGTGGATGAACAACAGTGCAGGGAAACAAAATCTAAAGAGGAAAGGGCCCCGGACCGTATAACAAGGGGAGTGCTCAGCCTATGCCCACTGACCCACGCAGCCTTCCCAACGGTTGTGATATTGGGTCTCTTTAGAACTGCCCCACCAGCCCCAAGTTTTAACGCAGTCAAGTACTTGTTCCTCACTGGTCCATTCATATCTGGATGTCCAGACGGGATCTCGGCAGCTTCTCACAAACAGCTGGCTTTTACACTGAGTCGATCTCACCCGAGGGTGTGAGTCGTGTCTGGGGAAACTTCCTCATGTATACTGAGGCCCAGGTGAGTGGTGGCACATCTTAAATTAGCTTCTCTGGAGTTGAAATGCTTTCCACTTCCTCCCTCTCTGCTTCTTCGATTGCAGCACCGCAGCAGTGCAGATCCATGCAGGTCTTAATTCAAAAGCTTGTCCTTCAGTAGACTGTCAAGGTATGGCTGTTGCTGTTTGCCTCTGCACCTGTTTAGTGACTTTGGCCCATAACTGTGCCCATAATTGGTCAAAGGCCCTCTCGATGCACTCCTCGTGCAAGGCCCAGCTCTCAGATGTTGCCATGGTGGTCATCTTAGCTTGGAGGCCACATGTATTCAGCCCAATAGATTTTTGTCACTGGACACTATTATGTACCTGTCGCTATGCTGTTGTCAAGTAAGCACTCAGTGGGGACAGGAAATAACCCACCAGTTGAAGGGGGGGAAGCAGGGTTTTAAACAACTCGTTGAGAGATGCGAGCTCAGAGTCGGGAAATCGGCTGCCTCTCCTAGCTACAAGGCGCCTCTCTCAGGAGGAGTATCTGTGTGTTGGCACTCTGTATTAACAGCACCTTGACCGGCTGCAGAGGTTTTTATGTCTCTATTAATGTTGAATAGGTGATTTAGGAGTGTAGTTGTTGGTTAAATAATCAAATCGAGTGAGGAGCTCTCATGAAGTCCAACTAACCACCATAAAGCACAGGCCCTGCGTCAACATTAAATTCCTTAATGTAACTCCTACACTTCCTTAACACTTGTAGTACCCATAAACCTATCATTAGCCACAACACCAATCCTAACGCTAACCTCTACCTTAACTCTTACGCTAACACTAACTCTAATATTAACATGGATGCATTACTGCATATAACTTGTTATGCCTTCACTACAGATAAAATCTTATGAGCATATAATGCTTTTTTATATATATATACACAATGCATAGTTCATAATGCATTTGCACACAGGCCTGTATGCCCCTTGGCAAAATATTAGCGTTTAAAAATAGTTATAACTGATTTAAACTGTATGTTAAATGCACACTCTTCCTCCTGAGCACATTCCAATGCAAGACAATAGGAACAATATGTACATGTTCCCCTTTTCTACAATTAAAACATTCAATATCTTTTAAGCACTGTGCCATCTATCCTATTTATTATCTTACTTTACTTCTGGAGGGAACCAAGTTTGTTGCAGAAATCTTAATTAATTATTTTTTTGCCTGCAGTGAACAGATGTGCTTTAATGTGTTTTTTTTTTAATGTAGTGTGCAGACACATTTTTAAGCATCTGTGGGTAGTAAAATTCTTAACCTTTAAGAAGTAACTATCAAGGAAATGGGGAACACAATTTTTACAATAATCATGACTTATTTTAATGACAATTGCAAGCATTTATTTTCCATTTCTAAGTTTTGTAGACCCAAGAGGCATGTTGTAGTAAATAGATAAAAGCAAGGTTATGTTAATCTAGTAAACAATTGTAAAGAAATTAAATGGAAGACAATATTCCTGCTAAAATTATACAAGGTTGTCATATGCACTTTTGTAGATGAGATAAAGAAAATTAGTGTAAATTGCATACAATGTGATAAGCTCCTTTCCACGTGGTACAAAACCATGGAATTATTACAAAGGATAGTCCCAGATGTCCCAAATACTTGATGCAGGAAAGGTGTTGGAACAACCAGGCATATCTGGTGGGATTGTCCTCGCATAGTTATTTTGGGACATGATCAGGGCCAAAATAGCAGACATACTGGGTGAAACGCTCCAGCTCACTATGTAACAAGCATTACTACATTACACTTCCCTCTTGATCTCTCGAAACAGATGGTCCATACTGAGACACCTTCTCAATGCAGCTAAAGCCCTGGTGCCTGCGCTCTGGAAGCAGATATGCACTCCCACACTTGAACAATGGTATGACAGAATAGAGGACATTCAGTCCGCAGAGTCGCTCCAAGCCTTACTGACTGGCACTTATGCAAATCACGCCGAGATGGTTTCAGTTTGTTGCGGGGAGTTGGGAGCAGGCCGGTAAGAGTGCGGGGACTGGCCATGGGCAAATGTGACCGTGGAGATTCGCGGCGGTGCCCTGCACTTTCTTCTCTGCTTCCCTTACTTCTGATCTTCCCCACCGATCCTTATGGATATGTGTCCTTCTGATGTAATAGACCCACCCTTGGGAGGGCACTAACCTGAGAGGTACTACTGCCTCTTGCGGGTTTGGAAAATGGAACTGGAGTGGAGCGCGGGCTGCCCAGGTGAAATGGGAGATACGGAAGTACCGAACAATGCCTAACCTTACCTATAGTGGTCAGAATCGTATGTGGCTAGTTTTAACAGAAGCTGTACTGAGTTAGGACAGAGGCCCCGGGCCCCTCCTGCAGACACCTATATAATAAAAAAACATATAATACATATGTATTTAAAACATAATTTAAATAAACAAGTGTTACAAAATATATATTATCATGTTGTTTCATATTCATTTTTAGATCTTTGTTTATGCAAGTTAAAGACTAAAGTCATTTTTGCGTTTTTGCTATGGATTTGTTACTCTGAAATTTCAAGATTTCTTCTTAAGTACATCAATCCAATTTATAAATTGAGTTTTTAAAGGCTTTTTTATGCCATATTATATACATGACAGAACAATAAATATGCAACTGAATATTTAAAATAAGGAAGAAATGACAAATAAAAAAATATTTAAAATTTTCGCTCATGATAATTTCTGCTTAAGTCGTGCAGAGAAAGACTGATGTACTCAAAACATATTACTTTATTTGCCCTGTTTGTGAAAAATCCACATTCGTGTAGCATTTAAATCAGGTTTTATCAGTTATGTTTTAAAGGGACACTATAGTCACCAAAACAACTTTAGCTTAATTTGTGTATATAAGCTGTTTTGGTGTATATGTCATGCCCCTGCAGTCTCACTGCTCTACTCTCTGCCATTTAGGAGTTACATCACTTTGTTTATGCAGCCCTAGTCACACCTCTCTGAATATGACTTACACAGCCTTCCTAAACATGTCTTGTAAATAGTCATCGAATGTTTACACTTCCTGTATTGCACATTCTGTTTAATTTTGAATGTCTTATCTCCTGCTCTATCAGTAGCTTGCTAGACCCTGCAGGAGCCTCCTCTATGTCATTAAAGTTCAATTTACAGAGCAGGAGATGAAAACTTTTAAAGTAAGTTACATCTGATTGAAAATGAAACCCTTTTGGGTTTATGCAGGCTGTGTCAGTCACAGCCAGGGGAGGTGTGGCTAGCCCTGCATTAACAGAAACAAAAGTTATGTAACTCCTAAATGGCAGTGAATTGAGCAGTGAAACCTTAGAGGCATGTTCTATACACCAAAACTGCTTTATTAAGCTAAAGTTGTTTTGGTGACTATAGTGTCCCTTTAAATAGTACAGACAATTGTGGTTTAAAGTGATAGTGTAAATTACAAATCAACCACCATTTAAGGCATTATTGTAATTAATATAATAATTTGAAGAAAATGAAAAAAAAATGTTCTGAAGCATTCACACAGCAGGTGACAGTAGCAGGCAACCTTCTGCCCCACCAGAAATAGGTCCATCAGTTAGAAGCTTGTCATTCTAGTCTGTGGGTGGGGGGGGTGGGGAGGTGTGCTCTTACCTATAAAACTCTGCCAAACAAAGTGAAAATAACCTGCTTGTTAAGTATTGTCAGCTTCATACAGCTCTGCACACAATTGAATAGGACATCCAATACTGGAATGGGATTCATATAGAAGATTTTGCTATGGCTGGTTCTTACAGGATAATACTAAAAGGTTGCAAAATTTGTTATGATGGGACTAAGCATTTAATTACCTAAATGGTAAGTAACTATTATACCCCCCTGCCATTATAACCCCCCTGCCATTATACCACCACCCTCGCTGCCATTATAATCCCCCCGTGCCCTTGCAGTGCTGCAGACTGGAGGGGGTGCAGGGTGCTCTCTCAGGTAGACTGAGAGGAAGGGCCTCACACTGGGTGTGGCATACTGGGTAAGCAGCAGGACCCTCTCCCTGTGTCGGGCACTTGGTTATTGACCGAGGACCCGACGGATCAATCTGCGATAAGGCGATTTAGGCGGCTGCGAGGCCCCTGTCAGTGCAAGGCCACCTCTGAAAACTCCAAATATAGGGTGGGCTAGGGCTGCCCACTTTTCAGGATATTATCATGCAGTCTACCTGGTGAGGATGGTGGAATGGCATGCCACCCGCACCCATATATCATGGTGTCTGTTTGAGAGGGGTATGTCGGGAGGTCGGATAACAGCGAAGGCATGGCTTCCGGACACAGAGGCTAGAGATCTGGTCCGAGACCAACCATTTATTGGTGCTATCCTGAAGATTTGGCAACAGATCAGATATACATTTCAACTCTGGGTTGGTCCAATGTACCCGGTGTTAGGAAACCAGGCGTATCCCCCTGGACTGGAAGGGGCGCATTGGACTTCTTGGGGAAGGACTCCTACATTTGACTTTCAGACATGTGCCGTGAGTCAGAGTTAATTCCCCTTACTGATCTCCTTCCAGATAGACCACCCACAGCTACGGAATCATTTCGGTATCATCAACTTCACCAATTTGTTTCACTATCTGGCATGATTTAGCTGAGCAGGCCACTGGTGCCTCTGGAGGATATCTGCAGAAGTGCAGAACCTTTGTATCGCGGCATATCCATGCTCTCTCAACTCTCAACTGATAAATGCAGAGAAACATCCCCCTCTCAAGTTCCAATTCCTATGGGAGGAAGCACTCCACACGACGTTGATAACCCAGGAATGGGACAAAATTGCTCACTTTACTTACCTAAGTTCAAACTGTGTGAACTACAGGAATGCCAACTACAAGTTCCTCACCCACTGGTATGATACCTTGCAAAAACTGTACACATTCTTCCCGGCTACTCCTGATGCCTGCTAGCGATGCGGGAATGGACCCGGTTCTCTCCTCCATATTTTCTGGGAATACTCGAGGATTGTCCCATATTGGCAGAGAATCCACGCAACTATGCTCAAGGTGGCAGACGAAGGTATGAATTGGCACCCAGCGGATATGTTGCTTAACTGTTTTTTTCAGCCTTATTTCAGCTGCAGAGACTAAGTCCCATTCGGCGATGGGACTTAGTCGTTTTTTCAGCCTGAAATAGACCGACCGCACAGCCCAAATCTATGGAACTGTTTTGGGCAGGAAAATGTGCTTGCGGTCGGTCATAAAGGGACCTCCAGCTAACTTTTTAACCCCTGGATGGATTTGGCTGATTTTTGGTTATGTTTATGTTTTAAGTGTGCTGATTCCAAATATGTAATTATGAAGATGGGATGTGTAGTTTTAAAGTTACAGGGTATGGCTAAAAACTGTATTTTTACTGCCTGTGTTTAATTATGTTAATCTCTTCCCAAACGTCATTTCGTTCAAAGTGGAGAGAATGTTAAAAAAATATATTTTATGTGACAATGCTTGAAAGCCTCATTCTAGCCTACCTTGGTATGTTTTAGCCTATGTCTATCAACATATTAGCACCTACCACACGCTTTCACAAGCATGTATATTCTGATGTTAAAGTGTATTTTATAAACAGTGCAGTGAACCAGATCCGTAATTATCAGTGACCAAACACGTTTGTGATTATAGCCTGCATACTCCTAATTTTATACTGTGTTACTTTAATCTAGCTCATGTAAGCTTAGTATAATTATTTTATGTGTAATTATTTTAGGTTTAACTATTTTATGTTTTGATTAGCTTATGGCATAGCGTACAACCCATCTATCTAGAAAGATACAAGCGATGTAGCTCCGCGTTGCGTTTTGACATGCTTGAGTAACGTAAATTTATACTGTTTCTCTCACTTAAGCATAGTCAGACATAACCATGTCAATGCCTAGATATTGTAGCGATGACGAGCGACATGACTATTAACACTAAGCTACCATTACTCAACAACAACGTAAGTCAAAAAGACAGACGTAGTTACTCAGCTTGTACTTAACTTGTATTATTAATCTAAAAAATGTGCGCGTTTCCTCAAGATGCTGTACAACAGTTAAAAAATAAGTGTTTGTAAGTTACCCTTTTCACCTTAAAAAAATGTATGCATATCCAACTTGCCACAATACTGCTATCATATGTCTATAAAAATCGAGCCTGCTAAATGCTGTTGTGGCGACACAGGCACTGTTGTAACTACCTGAATACCAAAAATAAAGAATTAAAAAAAAATAAAAATTATTTTTGTTCGGAGTGTGAGAAATGCTTTTCAGCCGCTTCTAATCTTAAGCATCATTTGAAGAGCCATACAGGAGAGAAACCTTATTTGTGGTGTGTTTAGTATTGTTCTGATCAGTTTAATACCTTTCGCGTCTCCTATCAGTGGACTTGTATATGGCAGCCATTTTAGGAACCGCACACCTGGGACCCGAGCAAGGTCACCTCGTTCAACAGGCGACAACATTTGTCCCTGGAAAACTATCCTGGACATTCTGTACAATTTGTATGGATATGGCAGTGATTTTTGTAACAGGGAGATGGAAGAAGAGGCTTGGTCGGTCCTCTTACTGCAAATTTGGGCACTGCGCGGTCAAGCTAATGTGACACCAGATAGGAGTGGTGTGTTTAGTACTATTTTTATCAGTTTAATACCTTCCGCGTCTCCTATCAGTGGACGTGTACATGTAGTGATTTCTGTAACAGGGAGATGGAAGAAGATGCTTGGTCGGTCCTCTTACTGCAAATTTGGGGCAATGTGCGGTCAAGCTAATGTGACACCAGATAGGAGTGGTGTGTTTAGTACTATTTTTATCAGTTTAATACCTTCCGCGTCTCCTATCAGTGGACGTGTACATGGCAGTGATTTCTGTAACAGGAAGATGGAAGAAGATGCTTGGTCGGTCCTCTTACTGCAAATTTGGGGCACTGCGCGGTCAAGCTAATGTGACACCAGATAGGAGTGGTGTGTTTAGTACTATTTTTATCAGTTTAATACCTTCCGCGTCTATCAGTGGACGTG